CCTCCGCGCCTCGGGCCTGGCTTCCCGCCCGGGGCGCCCCCAGGGCCGGGCGCCCCGCGGAGGAGGGGGCCGGGGAAGGGGCGTCCTGAGGGGCCGGGGGACCCCCCGCCCCCAGTGTCACACAGTTCCAGGTACTACGTGAAAATTCGCCTCTGGCGCTCGCAAGATGTCGGGCACTGGCGGGAACCTCCGGCAGGTGAGGGCGGCTCTGACCCCGCCTCGGCGAGAGGGGAGTAATCCTGGGTCCGTGCAAAGGCACCACCACCATCACCTCCCCCCCGCTCTTCTCCCCTTAATACCGTTTTCAGTCAGAATTCTCTAAAAATATCACAACGGAAGGCCTAACCCTGATGCTGAGAGATGGAGAGTCCAGCCCTGGGACACAGGACCTGTGGAAAAAGGTCTGTGTATTTTCACTTTATAAAGTACGATGTACAGAGAATGACCATGACACTCCAGTATTACACATTTAGTCAAAAAAAAAAAAAAAAAAACCCAAACACACAAACAAAAACCAAACAACCCACAATGCAGTTTGAGAATGCTCCTTTTTCTCACAACATTGCCAAAAAGAGGATGGCATCTTTGAAACATTGCTAGAGTAGTTAATGTCGGGTATTTAACCAAACCTTCCTGGTTTTACACATAGGATTAAATTAGATTTCGTAACAGTTCTGTTGTGCCATATAATCTTTTCACCATGAGAGTTAAAAACAGTTACTGAATGTCTCCAAAGCTGAACAGAAATAGGGAATTTTGAAGAGCAGAAAAAAGTATTTGGTAGATGAAATGGATTTTTGTTTGGTGTAAAGCATTCGTATACACCACACAACACCTGTAGACCACTAGAGCAAACAGCACAAGCACTTGACTTGGAAAACTGGAAATCTTCCACCACGTTTTACTGATGAATAGCAGCACTGGCCAGCCCTGGTTGCTGGAGAGATGATACACTGTTAATTATATTCTGATTACTATCTTGGCTTTTTCCTTAACACCATTTAAATTCCAGTCTTAACCTTATCTCAGCAAGGACTTAAAGAAAAAGTAGGACAGCCAACAGAACAAAAGTCCAAATCCCTCCACATCTTTTAAAACTATTTGTAACTCACTTAAAATCAGGGGAAGCTGTGACCATATTTTTGTAGTGCTTTCAGACATGCTTGTTAGCAAAATACAGACTTGTAGTTCTGACCAAGTTGTTACTAGCTTTGCAAAAATTAGAAACCTGTAACTATTCTGCAAATACCTAGACTCATTTTTCTCATTTGATCTTAAACCACGTGCTTACTGTCAACTGAGAATCAACGTTTCCCCTGCTACAGCTCTCTGGGTCATGAAGAAGATCAAACAAACTGAGAAAAACTAATCAAGAATAGCAACATTTCTGTTTTGACAATGCTTAGAAAGATAGCAGAGAAAGCCTGAATGAAATGTTTACAAAAATAATCATGCAAACATTAGGTAAATGTGGTACTATTTTCAGCTTGTGCTTATTAATCATTTAAAGCAGATGATGGGAGTACCATTTGAAAAGCATTAGATGTGCATTCTTACTAGCTGCATGCAAACACATTTGGCTGATAATTCTGCACTGCATAAAAACATGACATCCTACAGACTGTTTCCACAAAACTACTGAATTCCACACACAACCACACCTGTTAAACACAGTTCAGAGCTCAGGATTTAAGTCTTACACAGAAGGACAGCCTCAGAGCATATGATTCCTCACACCATAACATCCACAGCTGGTCAGCTACTGCAGCTGGGACTAATAATACCAGAGCAGTACAAACAAAGTATGACTTTCCTTGCCTCCTCTGCATCTTAACATATTTATACCCCATGACTGATTTTTTTTTTTTTATTTTTTTTTTTTTTTTTTAAACCATGGTAAAATAGCAGAAGTGCATGGCTGTTTATCAGTTGTGGTAAACAGTGAATGACAGGACAGCTTTCTTCATTTTAGTATCTTCTGCCAATGAAAACACCAACAGTCCCATGCAAACAGTTGTATAGAATTTCTTAAGTTTCTGCAGCTTTAGAAGCTATCCTCATATTTTTATAGAGTGCATGACAGAGGTCTCAGCATCTTTTTTTCATTTGAAAGTCTCTTTCCTTTACTACAGTATTCCCAGAAACTCAACCTCTTATGTACAGGTTTTAATAATATTACAAGATAAAGCATGATGTTAACAGTAGCAGCACCAACTAATCTACTGCAATTTAACACTTCTCAGTATGTTTTGGAAATTAGGACTATTCACCTTATGTTTTTCCCTAAATTCATTGCGTATTCTCTCACCTAAGATGAGGTTTAGATACTCCTTTAAATTCTTCCTCATTTTCCTGGTTAATGGGGGAATATATACATAATGGAGATAATCTACTCTGCCAAAAGAATGTAAAGGAGCAGAGATCATGTAATCACCAAACACTTTGGCACTCTGCTTGCCTCAAGTTTGAATAATCTAATAGTGAATTATACTTGTCAAACAGTTCTCAGGTTTCAGCTTCACATAATTTTCAGAACCTAGAGCTTAATTTCCGCACTAACAAAATGGAGGAGGCATTTCAAAGAAATTTCAAAAAGGAGGGAATAATAGATGCCAATTCTACAATTTATAGTTTGTATTGTTAGAATGAAATATTCATACTTTAAGCTTCAGCTTCTAAAATGTATGTATTCAAGCATATAACTAGGAAGTTTTCAGATGTGTACATCTTCCATCCCAAAGAATCCTTATGCACTTACAGAGTTTACTTTTGAAGTGTTGTTGGTGCCAAATGGCAACACTAAGAATGAAAGCGACAATACTTGATCTGCCAAAAATGTAGTACTACAAAGATTAATAGAGCAAAGTGCAATTGCAAAACCTGTCATCATTCTTTACAAAGCAGGCAGAAATGTTGTACAAGGCGTTGTTATACAACAATACGGAGCTTTGTGAAATACGAGGACCAGGACGGATATTTGGAGTACCCGTATTTGACTCACAGCCATGAAGTCCTAGTCTGTTATAACCAATTCGGGCATTTAATTACTAGAATGTTCAGGCCTGGCCTTAGTTGCTATTAAGAAAAAACTCCCATGGTATCATATTCCACCAAACTATGGCATAAATCCAGCATCTGATACAGTAGAAAGCATATCCCTGTGAATCGCCACTGTGATCTCCTGCGGTAATTTCACACCCTCACATCACAGTCTCCCAGTGAAAAGCCAACCAGTCCTAAATCTCTATTGTTTTTAAGAGTAAAAGTAATGACAGACAAAGGCTGTGGCAGTAATGCGTTCAGTGACATTGCCATTCCAGTTTTATAGCAGTCAGCAGGAGGAAGTTGCTTTTCTCATTTACCACTTGAATGTCATATGCAGTACAGGAGAAGACTAGGAGAACTTAGCGTAAAACTATCCTCCGCTTTGAGTAAAAAAAAAAAAAAAAGGTTGACCAGAGGATTACTAGATATACTGAGGTATTCTACAACCATCATTTCACAGTTTTAATTCAGTATCAAAGCAAAAGTAGCCAAGGGTAAAGCACACATTATATCTGCACTTAGATGAAATGACCTTGATACGGCCTCGCGTCAGCTATGCAAAAAGTAGAGGAACTTCAACTTCCAACTGCTGTTAGAAGCAGTTGTACAGGCCAGACGAAGGGCCTGAGCAAGGTTCCTATGCTGACCCTGCTGACACTAGGGACCCTGCCTAGAAATAAGATTGACTAAAAGTTACCAGTTGATTTCTCTATAAAATAAATGTGGTGCTTCAATGGCAAAAAGAATTCTCAAACTGTAAGTAATTTCTTAAACCTGACATAAAGTTGACAATCTTGTGCCCAGAAGCACTTAGTCAGAAACAACATAAAACGCCTCTTTCTGTGACATTTAGAACTTGATGGACGTGCCACAACACCTTTCTTTCATTAAAAGAAACAAAAAAGGTCACCAAACAAGAAGCCTGCAAAAGAGGATACAACCCCCACCACAACAGAGTCAGAATACAGCAAATATACAATCACATACTATGATCGTATATTTTCCAAAAAGACCACAAGTTAGTCTGCCAGATGCCTAATCTGACTTGGTTTGTCATAATCTACCAAACACATGTATATAAATGGGGGAAGAATAACTTTTTTTTACTCCTGAACTCATTAGCAGCCACAAAGTTCTTTTATTTGCATAGAGTAAATTGTGAGAAAGAGCTTTTTGCAATATTGAGACCTTTTTGCAACATATTGAGACAATCCTCTTAAGTTATGCAGCAAGTCTGCTTTAAAAAAATACAAAATCCTATATAACATCCATTCCACAGATTACTGTGAGAGATTG